AGAGAAAGAAAGAAGAAAGAAAGGAAGGAAGAAAGGAAGGAAGGGAATCTTGGCTCTTTAAATCTGGAAGTTCACTCAGCATGGAGGAAGGAGGCTCACAACAGTTGGGAGTGGGATGTAACAGCAGCTGTCCACCCCTGTGTCTGCACCTCCAAGCTCAGAAGCAGCAACGAGCAATGAAAACACAGATCTTCTGTTTTAGAGATCAGCATTCTTCTTGCCCACTCTGACTCCCACAAGCTATGTGTAAGCTGCTCCAGGAACATATGTAAGGCTGTATGCCTCAGGGGTAGAAGTTGAGGGATGGGTAGCTGCCATGGTGCCAAGAGAGAAAATTGACCAAAATTAACCCGCCAAGCCTGGGCCTGGAACTTGCAAGCCTTCAACAGACCAGAGCTCCAAAATAGTTACAGACAAATTTGACTGCTACACTTGCTGTCTAGGTGGGGAGACAGAGTTCTGGTGATTTCTACTCTGCCATCTTCCCAGAACAAGGTTTTAAAATTGAAACAAGATGGCTGAAATTTGGACGTATGGAAAAGAAAGGGGAAGCAAGTCCAGGTAAGGGAAGCTACTTCTGCTTGGAGGTAGCCATAAACAAGCAAACCATATCTAAGTGTCTTATGGGAATTTATTTATTTCTGATAACAGCTCTGCAAATGGTGGCTCTTGCTCCATACCAGAGGTGGTGACAATGGTGTAGATGGTGAAGAGTGATGTTTATAATGCTGATGGTGTTGGTGGGATAATGGTAATGGCAGTGGTGGTGGTGGTGAAAGCGGTAATGGTAATGGTAGTGGTAGTCATAATGATGTTAATAATGGTGGTGGTGATGGAGGTGATGGTGATGGTGATGGAGGTGATGGTGATGGAGGTGATGGTGATGGTGGTAACGGTGATGGTGGTGATAATGCTGGTGGTGGTGGTGGTGGTGACAGAGGTAATGGTAATGGTAGTGGTAGTCATAATGATGTTAATGATGGTGGTGGTGATGGAGGTGATGGTGATGGTGATGGAGGTGATGGTGATGGAGGCGATGGTGATGGTGGTAACAGTGATGGTGGTGATAATGCTGGTGGTGGTGGTGGTGGTGACAGCGGTAATGGTAATGGTAGTGGTAGTCATAATGATGTTAATGATGGTGGTGGTGATGGAGGTGATGGTGATGGAGGTGATGGTGATGGTGGTGATAATGCTGGTGGTGGTGGTGATAATGATGGTGTTAATAGGTACTCTGATTTGACTGTGTTCCCCAAACCTTGTGTGTTGGAAACTTGATCCCCAGTGCATCAGCATTAGGAGATGGGGCTGGCAAGTGTTTAGGTCATGAGCCCTCCACGCTCATGAATGCATTAACCTGGTTATCCCAACAGTAAGTTAGTTATCACGAGAGTGGACTTGTTCTAAAACCAAGTTCAGCCCCCTTTTCTCTCTGTCTCACCTTCGCTTGCTCCTCTGCCGTGGATGATGCACCAAGAAGGCCCTTGCCAGATGCCAGCACCTTGATTTTGGGCTTTTCAGCTTCCGGAGTGTGAGAAATAAATTATCCATAAATTACCGACTCTGTGGTTACAGCAACACAAACTAAGACAGAAAATGGGTATCAAGCAGTGGGACTGTTAGTATAACAAATACCTGAAAATGTGGAAGTAGTTTTGGAATTGGAGAGAGGCTGGAATGACCTGGAGGAGAAGGCTGTAAAAGCCTTGATTGTTGTGAATGAAGCAGTAAGGGCAGTTCTGCAGGGAGAGCCGAAATCTTCACAGAGACGACTGAAATGGTCATGATTAGAATGTTGGTAGAAAGATGGACAGCAAAGGCTATTCTGATGAGGCTCAGACAGAAATGAGGAACAACGTATTAGAAACTGGAGTAAAGGCCATCCTGGTTATACAGTTACAAAGAATTTGGCAGAATTGTGTCTGTGTCCTTTGTAGAAGGCAGAACTTAAAAGCAATGAACTGGGATAGCGAGCAGAAGAAATATCTAAGTAGCAGGAAAGCATTCAAGGTGCTCTTTAGGTGGCTAAAAATAAACTGAGAAGAGACAAATGATTTAAGGTGGGCTGTGTAATTAAAAGAGAAGCAGAATGGAAACATTTAGAAAACTCTCAGGCTGGCCATGTGAAAAAATTAAATGGCCTCAAAGGCATTTTAGAGGTCTTTGAGGCAAGCTAGGACCCTGAGGTCAAGCTTTCCAGAAAGGTGTCCATGAGATGCTCTGTGCATCAGGACTCTGCTCCCCAAATTCTAGTGCAGCACCCCTCAGCCACTCCAGCCTCTGCTCAAACAAGGTTAAGCATAGCTCAACCCACCCATTTAGAAGGAACAGGCCTTAAACCTTGGTGGTGTCCACATGGTGCTGGTTCTGCAGGAAGGTGGAGTGCACAAGCTGCGCAGCCATGGCAGCCTCCACCTAGATTTCAAAGGATCTCATGGACAGCCTAGGTGCCAGGCAGGGACTTGCCCCAGGGGCAAAGCTGCCATAGAGAGTCCCCCCTGGAGCAGTGCCCAGTGGAGCCATGAGGATGAAGCCACCAGACAGCCCTCACCAGAATAATTGTCTGGTGGAGCCATAAGAGTGGGACTGCCACCTCCGGATGCCAGAACTGTGGCGCTACCATGTGTAGTGCAAGCCTGGGCTCGCCACAGCCATGAGACTCCAACCCAAAAGGACTGCTGAATGGGCTGAGCCCTGCAAAGCCATGGGGGCAAGCCTGCCCAAGGCTGCCCAGCCCTCCATGCAGTGTGCCCAGGAGGTGGTGTACAGAATGAAAGATCATTCTAGAGTCTTAAGACTTAACTCCTGTCATGCTGGATTTGAGACTTGCTTGTGTGCTACTATTTCTTTTTTCTTACATATTTTTCCCTTTTGGAATGGGAATGTATTTCATGCCATCTCATTGTATTTTGGAAGCACTTGTTTGGATTTCACAGGCCCACAGCTAGGAAGGAACTTGCCTCAGGATAAATCATGCTTTGAGTCTCATCTATATCAACTGAAATGAGACTTTGGACTTTGGACTTTGCATTGACGCTGAAACAGGTTGAGACTTTGGAGACTATTGAGATGCAATCAGTGTATTTGACATTGTGAGAAGAACATGAATTTGGCGGAAGTCAGGGCAGAATGCTATGGTGTCAATGTGTCCCTCAAAGTTCGTGTGTTGGAAACCTAACCGGAGGTGTTCAGGTTGTAAGACCTCTACCCTCATCAATGGACTAATGTCATTATCATGAGGGTGGGTTTGTTACAGAAGCAAGTTCTGCCCTCTCCGGCTCTCTCCTGCTTTCTTGCCCTTCCACCCTCACCATAGGGAGGACGTACCAAGGGAAGACCCTCGCCAGTGCTGACACCTCGATATTGGACTTCCCAGTTCTAGAACTGTGAGAAATACATTTCTCTCTTTCTTTATTTTTCTTGTTGCAAATTTCCCTGTCTGTAGTATTCTGTTTTAGTGATGCAAAATGAACAACGAGGATGGTGGGGCTCTTGGTGGGGATGGTGATAATAGTAATGCTGGTGATGATGGTAATGGTGATAATGGTGGTGATCATGATGGTGGTAATGGTGGTGATCATGATGGTGGTAATGGTGGTGGTGACAGTAAAGTTGGTGGTGGCAGTGATGGTAGTGATGGTGCTGATAGTGGTGCTTATGATGATGGTCGTGGTAGTGGTGGTGGTAGTGATGATGGTGGCAGTGGTGGTTATGACAGTGATAATTGTGGTGGTGGTGACAGTGATGGTAGTGATGGTGTTAATGGTGATGATGGCAGTGATGGTGGTGGTTATGATGATGGTGATGGGGGTGGTGGTGGTTATGATGATGTGATGGTGATGGTGGTAGTGATGGTGTTGGTGGTGGTGGTGGTGGGGATGATGGTGGTGGTGATGATAATGGTGATGGGGTGGGGGTGGTGATGATGGTGGTGATAGTGGTGGTAGTCATGGTGTTGATGGTGATGGTGGAGGTGATGGTGGTGGTGGTGGTGACAGTGGTGGTAGTGATGGTGTTGATGGTGATGATGGCAGTGATGGTGGTGGTTATGATGATGGTGATGGGGGTGGTGGTGGTGATGGTGATGGTGGTGGTGATGATGTGATGGTGATGGTGGTAGTGATGGTGTTGTTGTTGTTGGTGGGGGTGATGGTGGTGGTGATAATGTGATGGTGATGGTGATGGTGGTGGTGGTGGTTATGATGTGATGATGTGATGGTGATGGTGGTAGTGATGGTGTTGTTGTTGGTGGTGGGGGTGATGGTGTTGGTGATAATGGTGATGGGGGTAAGGGTGGTGACGGTGGTGATGGTGGTGGTGGTGATAGTGGTGGTAGTCATGGTGTTGATGGTGATGGTGGAGGTGATGGTAGGGGTGATGATGATGGTGATGGGGATGGTGGTGATGATGGTGATAGTGGTGGTGGTGATAGTGGTAGTAGTAATGGTGTTGATGGTGGTGG